AATCTTTTTTTGTTTGTCTTTGCCATTAAGGTGAAATAACATCAAGAAGGAGATGTAAAAATCACAGCCAAATTATTTATTTATAAGACTGACAATGAAAGGTCAAGTCAACCATACTGCATTGTGGGATACAGTGTTTCACAATTGATCATCTGAATATTTCATGCACACAGAACATTCGCATACTGTGCACAGCAAGCATACTGCATGCTGCAGAAGTAGTATGAGTAGTATGTTATGGTATTTCAAGCAAAAGCGGGACTGAAGATTTTAACAGTTTTGATCATGATGATTTTTGTTTCCTTAGCCCTTCACATATGAAGTTACCCTGCTAAAATGACCTGCTCTCTCCTGCTCTCTTTAACTCTCATCTAGTTCATTCTGTGAAACATTGCAGCTCTTTATAGCGGGGCCTGTAAGGGTCACTGATGTGGTTCATGGTCTAATAAAACACAGCTATTATGGTCACATTTACCTCAGCTGTCAAACCGTAGATTTTTTTTGGTTGTTAACAGCTCTTTTTATATGGAGGAATAGTAGTGCCCTTGTCTGACTGATCTGATGGCTCCTCTGGAACAGGAAAGCAGTTTCTGGAGAATGTGTGTCGCCTCGCGGGAGGAGGGTCTGCAAGCGGGTGATAACAAACTTCAGTCCAGCAACAATGGTGCGTCTGTTGGACAAGACTTACACAGGTAATAATCAGCTCATTTTGACTGCTTTATATGTTGTCCAAACACAGGGTTTAACAATAAGGATCTTTCACTGAAGCAATTTTTACTATTTCACTGAAGCAATTTTTATAGTTGATACACTGTAAAAAAAAATTAAAGATAACGAGTTTTACAAGAATTCATATTTCAGTGTTTATTTAATCTTCAATTCAATGTGTTACTTGCAGTTTATGTGTAATTATTTATGAGTGAAAATTGTTTCAAAGTAAATCCTTAAAGAAAAATTTACAAACGATAACTTTTATTATTAAATGTTAAATAATGGTTTATGCTGTAATCGAAGCTTATGAAGCAATCTCCTCAGTATATAGAGGAACTCTCTAAATTACATAAAAATAATAAATAATAAATTAATATTTATTAATAAAATTTCATATTTAAATGTGATTAAAATGTTAATTAAATAAATAATAAAATAATAAGAATAAGAATAAGAATAATACATGAAGTATATTGAGGAACTAAAATAAAATTAACAAAATAAAATTATTTAAATTAAATGAAAGAAATTGAAACAGTATTTTTTATTAACTGTATTTAATTCAAACAAATTAAAATGTTTATTAATTTAATAATAATAATAATAACAAGGTTAATAACAAATGAACTGTATGGTGTAACTAAATAAAATTCTTTACATTAAATAATAATAATAATAATAATAATACATTGTAATTAAAGTAATTATTTTGTTAATTAACTTAATAATAAATGAGGTGTATGGTGTAACTAAATAAAATCATATACATTAAATAAAAATAATTATAATAATACTATTATAAATACAATTTATTTAATTAAAAAGAATAAAATGTTAATAAACTCTTATAATAATACTATTAAAAATGATGATAATAATAATAATAATGCATATTATTATTATTAGTAGTAAAATATTAATAATAATTAAAAAAAACTATATGTATCACTTATATCATTTATATAAGTGCTCACACACTGACCCTTGTCCATCTGTCTATCCTTACTGTTGAACCCTCTAACAAATGTCCTATTCATATGTTCCCATGAAAAATGCATGTGTGTAAACATACACCGCACATACACACAGCTCTCAGCATATTACAGCATAAACATAAGTGCCATAATGCACATATTCTGTTGTTTTCTGTCTCTAGGGACACTTACATCTACTTTGGAGACAGACTTGCCCCATTTAACGGACAGATTATAAACGATCAAACGAAACCGGAGGCTGATCCAGAGAAAAGGCCCGTGCTGAAGACTGAAGTAAGACTTTATCAGCTGTTTGTCCATTACAAACATCAAAACATTCCTCTGATCTGACCTGAGGCCAGTTCTGTGGGTTGGGATAGATCAACGTCTTTTCTAAGCATTCTGAAAATGTCAGACGACCGACCGAGATCCCAAATAACTCCTACACTCCCACAAACTCAGCTATGCCTCTGAGAGTAGGCGGACATTGCCCTGCAAAAATTAGGAGGTTATTTCTCTGAAACAAACCATCTATTGTTCTTGTTTAATTTGAAAAATCCAACAAAATGAGTGTGCTGTTTAGTTGAGAATGGTTTCAATTAGCCATATTACAGAAATACTTAAACTAATCAGTGAAGTTCAAAAATATCAGGAAACTGTCTGCTTTGGAAAAATTTAAGAACTCTGAAACATTTTTAATCATTGCATGATTATTTTCAATAAAATGAACCATTTTGCTTTGTAGTTCTGAGATATAGGTTATATTTATTCAAATAAGATAAACATTACAAAAAGAAGATATAATGAATGTCAACAATTTTCATGAGGTTTACATTAATTGAAGAAAATGTGAATGCAAACATCAAAAGATATGTTTTCAAATACTTTTAAAATATACATAAAATAGCCAAAAAACCATTTGTTAAAATATGTTTAAAATTATATGTAAATATATTTTTTAACAATACATATTTTTGCCATTTTTTTTAATATGTTTTTAAAAAATATAAATATATTTTTTAAAAGGATAGATTTTGCCCTCTATACAGTATTTCAGTAAAAAAAAATACATCTCATTATTTGAAAAAAAAACTTAGCTGTCTATAACTCGTGTGAACATACAGTATAACATAGCTTACATATGCATTTAGCCTTTAAGATTGGAAATGTATTTTCTTGCCCTTGAAATATATTTTGAAGTCTATTTTGGTATATGAAGGTTAAAACTACATTTATTTTTTTAAAATATAAAAATATATTTTATCGAGCTTCACTGTTTACAACATATATTTAAAATATATGGTTACTAGGTGGGTATTTCCTGGCGTAAGTCAAAATAGCCCAGCGTTAATTTACTAGATATGGTTTGGATCCTTTTTCAATGTAAACAAAATTGTGTGTCTGATCACTTAGAAAAATAAAAATACACTTCTCTTCCAAAAGCAACATGATTTGAGGTATATAATCTGTTGCATAAATGGTGTGAGACAAGTTACAACCAAAGTTTAATACTCATGGGTTATGGGTTTAGTAATAGTGAAGCTTACCTTAGCAAACCGCACATAACCAGCTAAGCATACTTGGTTCGACCTCTCTTTGAGCAGATCTATAACACACAGGTCAAATGTGATTAAACAGACCTTAACCAACACAGAATCCATTCAAGACACTGAGCAGATCCCAGATGCAGCAGAAACTAATTTAATTCAGGATGGAAAAAGAGACACAGAATAGTACAGAATGGTACAGGTTTGTTTTGGTACGACCCATTCAGATTTTGAGGAGAATCGTAGCATGTTTATCTGTTGTTTGTGTACTGCAGGGTTTCTCTCCATGTGAAAGCAGAGCTCTGTTCGCTAATGTCAATGAATCAGACCAGCTTGGCTACACTTATGGAGAAAAGGAGGCAATGGGAAACAACAATAACTTGAAGGTGGGGAGCATACCCTGTTTTTCCCTTCAGCTGGAAAATCCTCAGTTTCAAAGTGATCTTTAGCTTAATTAGGGTCATATGTTGTGTTTCCAAAGAGGGGTGGGTGGTATGACTGAAATGGATATATGGATGCCAGTTTCTGCCTTATTTATATCTTATTTTTAATTTTTAAATTATTATTATTATCATTTTTTGAATGGTTTTGAAGTATCTTATGCTCACCAAAGCTACAATTCTTTGAACAAAGGTATAGTAAAAACAGTAATATTATGTAATATTATTACAATTTAAAAAATCTCCTTTCTATTTGGATACAATTTAAAATGTTATTTATCCCTGTGATTTCAAAGCTGAATTTTCATAAATTCATACATAACTAATTAGAGTGATTCCTTTGAAACATTCGGTAACAATGCTTGGCAATAAGGAGTTTCGCAAATTATTGACTGATGATGATTAATCAATTCTATATCTGCCCATTACATGAAAGTGGAAGAAGTATTCAGAGTGGTAAATCAAAGTTATAACCCATGGTGTTTGTTTTTTTGTTGATTAGTGACATGAAGGGCTTAATGCTCACTTCAGTTGATACACACAATCAGTGTCTGGGTATGGAGGCAGATTCAGCTGGAACTTCTTCTCAAGTGCAGGAGGAACAAATCTTCCTCCCAGGAAGTGGTAGCGTCCTTTGAAGTGATTGGCTGCTTTCTTAGGGGCTGTGAGGGAGATGAGCATGTCAGGCTGAATCCCATCAGGACAGCAGTTCTCCACATCCCAACCTAAAGAGTGAAAGAAATGACACATACTTTGTCACAATCAGAAGACATATATGATAAACTAGTTTACTTACTATTACCAGGCAATTTATACAATAAAAAAATGCTCTTGGCTCATAAATGCGAATCAAAAAAAATTTTTTCTACTGAATGCTTGGATTGCAATTAAATTAGTGATGTGTGTGTGTTCTCACCTGAAGGTATGTCAACGCTAGCAATGGGCACAGTGATTTTCTTTAGTTGGGAGAGGATGTCACCGAACGGCTCTCGCACCGCACCCTTAAAACTGAATCCAAAGATGGCGTCCACCACCAAATTATACACTTCATCAATCACATCAGCCTAAAGACAGCATGATGGGGAAATACACAACTGTTACACATATCAAACACATACACTGCCGTTCAAACACTTAGGGTTGTAAGATACATTACTGTTTAAAAAAAAAAAACCCATATCTTATGCTCACCAAAGCTACAATTCTTTGAACAAAGGTATAGTAAAAACAGTAATATTATGTAATATTATTACAATTTAAAAAATCTCCTTTCTATTTGGATACAATTTAAAATGTTATTTATCCCTGTGATTTCAAAGCTGAATTTTCAGCATCATTACTCCAGTCTTCAGTGTCACATGATCCTTCAGAAATCATTCTAACATGCTGATTTGCTGCTCAAGAAATCTGTTTTTTGCTCCATAACATTTTGCTGCCATGTCCACTGATATACACACTGAAATAAAGAATACAGTACAATCTCTTTCAGTCGACACATATCTACTGTATTTGTCATACCACCCAGCCCTGTCTAAATGATTTCTAGAATATTATTTCTTCTAGCATCCTAATACCATGTGTATGTTTGCAGATGCCAATTATTAAGGTGTCAGACGATGACAGCAAGAACTGCGACAATGAGGATCAGAGCTGCCAAGAGACGTCCTGCAAGAGATCTCGCTTCAACTCCACCAGTGAGACAAACCTGCATGAACACGAGAGTCATAGCACTATCCCAATCCATCTCTCAGTATTTGTTTACAGTATAACTCAACTGTGCTAATCCCAGTTCAAGCACTGACCACACACATGCAACACTGCACTGAAGAAGAGCGGCCTTTTTTTATTACACAACTTCATAAACTCTTGAGAATATCCAACAGGAGATGTGAACATGTTTTTGTGCTCCTGAACATAAACATAAGATGTTGTACTCACATGCTGTTCACATCGTCCAACATCGAGAGCACGTCTTATGTAACTCCACATGTCCACATGGTTTTAGGCGTTCACCCATACTGGATCGGAGACTTGGATACCATCATTATGAAGACGCCAGAGCTGTTCCCGTGTCCCGCCCACGCCACCGCAGGCTTTTACGGCAACAGGAAGTCTCTCTCTCAGCAGCTGGAATTCCCTCACAGCATTCCACAGGTGAGGGAGGGAGAGCCGGTCACAGAATCTGGACTGTTTGGGTCACATTAAAGGGATAGTTCACCCAAAAATGAAAATTCGGTCATTATTGTTTACTCACCCTCAAGTTGTTCCAAACCTGTATGAGTTTCTTTCTTCTGTTGAGCATAAAAGAAGATATTCTAACCTCTTAACTGTAAAAAAGTTATAGAAGTTTAAATTTACTGTAAAGAAAATGTATTGTTTTATATCAAATAAATATTTTACAAAATTAATCCTAAATTAATACAAAATTAAAGCCATGTGTCTAAATAAGTTGTGTTCCAAATTTGTTTATTTATTTATTCACTTTTTAACGCCATACCAGCATCAAGGCTATTTTCATGGCGATCTCTGAATAAATTATACAAGGCATACAATTAACAATTGCTTTACACGAATAGCCTACTAGACACTTTTCAATCTGGGTTTAGGTCTGGACATAGGACGGAGACTGCTTTAGTTAGGGTCTTGAATGACCTTCTCATTATAGCTGATTCTGGGGATTGTGGAATTTTGGTTCTGTTAGATCTTAGTGCTGCATTCGATACGATATGTCATAGCATATTACTGGACAGACTACATAGATGGATTGGTCTATCTGGAACTGTGTTGAACTGGTTTAAATCTTATCTTTCAGAACATTCTCAGTTTGTTTGCCTGGGTACTAGACTGATATCTCAGACTGCGCCTTTGTGTCAGGGTGTCCCTCAGGGGTCAGTTTTGGGACCTGTTCTATTTAGTATTTACATGCTGCCTCTTGGGCAGATTATTCAGAAGTATTTTTGCTATAACGCACCTAAGTTATGGAATGCATTACCTGTGTTTATTAGGAATGCTGCTTACTTGGATTGTTTTAAGAAACTTCTTAAGACGTACCTTTTTAATGAAGCTTTTAATTCATGACTATTACTATGATTTTATTTTTTATATTAGTGCTTTGAGTATTAAGAAAGGTGCATTACAAATAAAATGTATTATTATTATTATTATAACAAAAGGTTATAAAAGACATTTCAGATGTACACTAGACAAAAATACATCCAGGTGATACATTTTTAAATAAATCAGTTAGACACACCTCTGAATAAAACAGTTGTCTATTTACATTAAAAACAGTACAATCCAATAAAATATGATTCACAGTCATTTTAGTTTGACAAGTCAGACATGATGGTGGTTCTTCACCTTTTAATAAATATCCATGTGTAAATCTTGTATGACTTAAAAGACACCTTGTAAAACCAACTTGGTCATACCTAGATTTAAAATAAGTAAAAAAAAATAATACAATTCTTACAGTAGGATTTGTTTCATATAGCTTATTTTCATTATGTTTATCCGATTCCATCTGCCACAAAGTCATTAATATAAGAGTGTATCACAGGTTTGACATCACAAAAAGGAGTTCCAAATTTGAAGTTGATATAAAAAAAATTGTGGTTCCTATGCAATTTTGTTTAGACGTTATACCACAAATAGCCACCGGGTGCCATAAACTCCACTGAATTTTTTTTTTGATGCATTTTTCTGTCACAAATGTATACATTTCTCTCTCAATATTATTTCTATCACAAAATACCCATAAATATGGAATTGTGAGACTCAGACCTTTCCAACGATATGTATATTGTCAATATTATAAAAAGTTTTGATTCTAAAAGACGTAATACATTTTGTAATACGACACCCCCACTAAGGGGGAGGAGCCCGCTAAAAGATTTTAAAGTACCATTTCCACTAAAAATTTTCACGAAAAATTATTTTTCTGACAAAGGTCAGAACTCCTGTTATGATGTATATGTTTTGAGGTGCACTATTAAATCACATAAATTAATCTATTACTGTTCCTACATCATGTTAAACAACAAACAGTGGTAAAATATCTATTTAAGGGTCTTAGACCTTTCCAACAATAAATAGTTTGTCATGATTAGATTAGGATTTAATCATAAGATATTGAAGTAAACTTCGGGACGGTGACAGTTAAGGGGTTGAAGAATGTTGGTAACTAAACAGTTGATGGTAGCCATTGACTTCCATAGTATTTTTTTCCATACTATGGAAGTCAATGGCTACTGTTAACTGTTTTTCAGAATGCATTTTGTGCTGCATTGGCCAGTGGAAATGGGGAAAAAATGCAAGTTCTCGAGATGCGTTTTTTAAAACTTGAACTTATTTTAATTTGAGCACTGCATTTTTAGATCGCATTGTCGTGCTCAAGACGCTGCTAAAGATGCAAGCAAAACACGTCTGTCTAGTGCGTTTACATAGAAAACAATGCAAAAGTAGTGCAATGGAATGGAAAAATGCATTCTGCTTGAACAGCCTTGCGTGAAGTCTTATAAGATTTAAGTGAGAGAAATGTAAAATCAAATATTGTCATGACTGTAAGTGAATCGCAAACTGAATTTGTTTTGTATCCTAGCTAGGATTTTCCTTGTTATTTTAAAATAAAAGTCTGGTACAAATAAACATACTTAATGTTTATAATATAAAGCTCTCTTCCATGTCTGCTCACACCATTTATTGAAACTAAGCTGCAAAAATTGGCCATTCTGAAATTGTCATGGTCTATCACTATAACGTGTAGCCCACTGTTATTTTAGTATTATTAATAGACCTATAGCTACTATTGATTAATATTCTAAATTAGCTTTTACTTATATAATTTTAGTTTTCATTGTAATTTTGAATTTAAGGTTTAGTAATTTTTTAGTAAAGTGTTTTTGTCATTTTTATTAGCCTTTTTTTGTTTTAGTTATTGTAATTTTAGTACTTCAACACAAATGTATTTTATTTCCAAAGTTATCTGCGAAATGAACGTTTTTTTGTTTGTTTACATATTCACATTTTATTTTATTTCAGCTATATATCGATTAACAATTAAAAAAATATAATTTTAGGTTTAGTTAACAACACCTGTATAGTCAAAATGATATATCATGGCATAAGTAATGTTATATCATAATAACATTACACATACAATATATATATATATATATATATAGCTGTAAATATAAATATATAAGTATAAAATTTAAATAATTGCATTTTATGATTACATTTAGTTTTTCATATTTTAAATGATTAAATTATACATTTTTACAGATCACAGATATACCATAGGTTGCAAAATCTCAACATTTTTATTGCACAGTATACAACAAATAATGCAAGTCAATTAATTGTTCAAACAAGCTTTAAAAATGTGCTTATCACTATTTGTCTAGCATAATTCCACATCTTGTAGGCCGATGGTGAGTGTGAAGTTATGGAGGATGCAATCTGACTTTACTGCGAAAAGAATGACAATGAATTGTATTATATCAAAGTGCCTGATTATGCTTGTGGATGGTTAGTGAATAAGTCATGGGTGTTTACACTGAAATAAATCAATGGTGCAGCTGTTTAGTTTCTAAGTTCAGAACGTGTTTTGCCTGAACAGTTCTGGATGAGAGAACGGCAGTGACTGGCTGTTGCACTTTATTCGATAAGGCCATCATTATACTGGTAATCAAATAAATGGCTGTTGCAGTAAGTGCTCAAAGCATCTCTCCTTCTCTAGAAGTGCTCTCTACAAAGTGCTTTCCCTCTCCACATCAGCGGAGTGGCTGTTTTTAATGAATGTCATGGGAATGGCACATGTAACTGCTCTGGGTAGCAGAATTTCATGAAATTAAAACATCTCATATAGTCCTTTTTGACCCTGAACTTAGGCCTTTGACCTGCTTACCACATTATTTGCGCTCTTTGTGGTCTCTGCAGGCTGTGGTTAGACCGTCTCGCTCTCTAAGTTCAGCACACTTGGTCCCGTCCTGCAGCACTGTGCAGGCCTTCATCATCTCCAACATTGTCCTCATGAAGGGCCATGGAAAGGTATCCAAATGTGTATCTGCAACAAATAATACAACGCATTGAATTCTCAACATATAAACCGCTGTCCTGGTATTCCAGGGCCTGGGATTCAGTATAGTAGGAGGAAGAGACAGCATGTATGGCCCAATGGGGATTTACGTGAAGACCATTTTTCCTGGAGGCGCAGCGGCCGCTGATGGTAGACTACAGGAAGGTAGGCTCATTAGTTAAATATCACAATGTAATTGGTAATGCATCCAGATCTATCCAGACACTTACTTCAAAATGAAGCTTTCCCATCAACACTCACAGCTGCATTACCCAGAAATGGATAGAAAACTATATTAGTGTTTCTGGTTTACAGGAGACGAGATACTGGAATTGAATGGTGAATCTCTGTACGGCCTGACCCATGAAGATGCCTTACACAAGTTTAAAGTGAGTAACCTCACCTGGATGGCTTCGTGTTTCAAAGTTGACCTGCAATTAATGAACTGGCACACGTAATGAAGAAACACATAATGCATATTGGTAGACTGATTGGGTTGTTTAAGGGCTCATTGCTAACAGTAACTAAATTAAAATGTCACAGTAATGTGGTTAACTGGAAGTGGAAAATAATATGTCACCTTATATTTATTTTTAAAAATTAAAATACAATATGTATATATTTTTTTCATCTAATATGTATATCTAATATGTATATTTTATTTCAGCATTATATCAATTAATATTTTTAAAAAATTTTCAATAACAACACTGGTATGTTCAAAATTATATATCACGGCTTAAGTAATTTTTATCACAGTAGTGTATATACACCACACAATATACTTATTTTTGCTGTAAATATAAATTTAAACATATACAATTAAAATAATTACATTTAATGATAAAATTGTTATAAAATTATAGATTTTTATACAATTAAATATTGAAATTAAAATGTAGATTGCATCACAGATATAGTTAGTTACAAACAAGCTCA